ACCCAAACTAAAAAAGTAAACCGTTCATGATCGACGAAAACAATTTTTTAACTATAATTTTTATAATACTTTAATACCTACTACATGTGTAATATAATTACTTATTTATTTTATATTTTATTTTATAATAACATTCTACGTTACATACACCCATAATTAAGAATTTTAACCTAACGAAAGAATCATTGAAATGTGGAAACTAATGAGACCATGGGACCTCACAAAATACGTAAAAGAAATGAATTATTTAAGGTAATGAAAAGTGCTAAAGTAAAGGGATCAAACTCGTGATTTATGAAATGTTGTTGATGCTATCTGTTTGGGTTTGTGAAGCATAGCGTGTGATGGGTGGCCCTGTGACTAGGGGAGTAAACTAGCCGAGTCAAGTTCGAGTATTGCTAAACTCGACTCGAACTCGAAAACTAATGTAGGCTCGACTCGAAAACTCGCGAACTTAAAATTTTCAAACTCGACTCGAACTCGAAATATAATATTGAAACTCGACTCGAACTCAAAAAGGCTCGAACTCAAAAAATTTCAAGAGCTTGATTAAACTCAAAACTTGAGCTTGATTAAAGCTCGAAACTCGAGCTCGATTGAAGCTTGAAACTCGAGCTCGATTGAAGCTCGATTTTGAGCTCGATTCAAGCTCGATTTTAAGCTCAATTCGGGTTAATTTTCATTTGTTGAAACCCATCCCCTTTTATACACTTGACTTTACCCCTTATTCCCCAAGAACCACCGATGTGGGACTTTAGACAAAAGAATAAAACTCTATTTGAGACGTTGTTTTGCTTGACCATGGGTCAGCTGCTGTTTGATCTTCGTTAAAATTTGGTGGTTGCTTAACATTTATTGGACAACTGATGCATTGTTTTTTTTCTCTCCCTCTTTTTTCCAGAGTACATGAAAATACAAGCCTCTGCTCATTAATTGAAAACCATCTCCAGCCTAGCCCCTGGAATCATCCTCTAAGGCGGTTCTGTGAAGAGCGGCTCGATTGCCTCAAGTTTTTCATTTGAAAATACCCCAAGGTGATTTAGGTCTCTGGGTTTCATTCTTTTTCTTCTTTTGAACTATATATTCAGCAGCCTCCACGTGCTCTTGTTGCTTGTTGTTTGCTAGGTTTTGCTACATTTCCATGTTAAAACTGGAATTAAGCTCAGTTATCTGGGTTATGTTTAATGCCCTCATCCTGGATTATACATTATATGTATTGAGCCTGTGGTGATGAACAGGTTGTTTAGAGTTGCTGTGATTCCAGTGCTTCCATCTGTATATATAGTGTAAACCAAGATGCGACTAACTTCTTTTTTGGGAAGAGGCAAGAATTGGACAAGATTAGGCCCTTTCACTCTCTTGCAGATGGCGAATTGTTTTCATGTATAAAGAAAATGATACATTGTTTTTGATAATGTTTTCACCAAAAATGGATGAACAAAGTTGTTGGTATTGCTTATTAGTTGCATTAATAAAGGTTACTTGAACCATGTTGAAGGAGATAGTCTTTGCAATGTTGATGATCTTAACAAGTCATTGGTAAGTTTGGTTAACAAACTATTGGTTCAGTGGTTGAAGTTTAAAAATTTATGATTAATTCAAGATTTGAAACCCTTGTAAACGTGAAATAAAGTCAAATATTTTTGTCTCTTTGCTCATGTCCTTAATTGGCAAACCCAAACAGAATTTGATTTCACACGTAATTGGGCTTGCATATTACGATTTGGGCTCGACTAGGATCATGGGTCTTTTTCTTTTGCCAAGGCTATTACTAATATTACCAATATTAGGATTATGTCATCGAGTCAGTTCTTGAAATATTATGTTGGTGAGTCAGTGCTTGAAAGCAATGACGGTGTCGATAGTCAACATTAAGATATGATAAAATCATGTCTCAATCAGAAAATTGTGTATATTTATTTTGCATGTTGTTATGTTTATGTATAAGTATGTGAATGATTTATTTAGGAGTCACATAACATGATTTTGCATAATTTGTATGTTACATTCATGTGCATAACTTAACCCTATCACATATCAGATTAAGGGTTTATGGTTTAGGGTTTAGGATTTAGGTTTTAGGGTTTAGGGTTTAGGTTTAGGGTTTAGGGTTTAAGGTTTAAGGTTTATAATTTAGGGTTTAGGTTCATGGCTCATTGCAAAGACATTAATTAATCGACTTGATACCGATTTATGAGGTAAGTACAATATAATATCTTGATATTAAATGCTCAAACCCTTGATATTTATGATATTTGAACTCAAAACCTCAAAATATAACAACAATTTAAATAATTAGTTATTAAAAATATTATCATTAGAAATATATTTTTAATAAGGGTTTTGTTAAATTGTTTTTATTTTTAAAATTTTAATATTCTTTTTTCTATAATCGATCTATCTTGTTTTACTTTATATGGTACAAGTTAGTAGTATGGATGATAATTTTCTCTCAAATATGATTTGATGCCATTAATTTTGTTAATTAAGATACTAATGTAAGTCTAAATGTGTTTTTCTTTCTTAATTCTTTATAAAATCGGTTACACTCTATTTTGATATATTTTTTAAATTATTAATATTTAAATTTAATCATATTTTTATTTTATTATTTTTTTAAAATTTTATAGAATTTTTAATATATTTTTAAAATTTTATAATTATCAATAATGTATTTTTAATAATGTAATTTTAAAAAATCTAAAATTATAATATAATATTTTTTTCGAGCTGCTCACGAGCTTTTCGAGTCGAATATCGAATAGCTCGTTTCGGCTCGTTAAGAACTCGAGTCGAGCTCGAGCTCGAGTCGAGTCCATTCGATCCGAGTATTTATCGAGCCTTGATCGAGTCGATCTCGAGTAGCTCGCGATCTGTCTCGTCTCATTTACAACCCTATGTGACCCTCCACCACCACCACCAAACAACTTATTCCATTTATGTTCATATGGTTCAAACACCTTCATATCTTTTCTATATCACCCGGTTCCTCCAAGGAAGCAGTTTCCACTATATTTATTAGGTTTAGGGATGGCAAAGGATGGGGTTAGGGTTGGGTTTTTGGTCAACTCAATCCAACCTAAAAATATGTATCTTGCACCTGAACCCATCCCTGACCTGAAACCCTTTAAAAACAACAATTTTTTAATGAAATTACATTATTATCCTCGGGTCGGGTTGGAGTTTTTTAACTCTTCATTCGAACCCGATCCGACCCGATATTACCCCTTAAAAAATCCATCCAAAACCTTCTTTTTTAAAATCCAACCCCATCAAATTGGGTTGAAACAAAACCTGTTGGATTCGAGTTAAATTGTCCTCCCTAGGTTTAATGCACACATTCATACTTCGACGTATATATTTTTTCTCAAGGCCCTCTCAATGCCCGATTGATGTAAATATAACTAATACTTTTATAAAAATTGAACAATTTATTAATAACATTATTATTTAACATATAAAAAATTCAATATATTTAATGTAAAATATAATTTTTTATTATATAATTTACTGTAATGTATTTTGTAATATTTCATTCAGATGTCATTGTTTCACTTGTGTTTGAATTTAAACATATGAAACACTTATTAGTCTTAATTTTATTATTTTAGTTTTGAGTTTCAATGTTACAAACAATCATATAGTTAACACGACATTGATTAAACAAAATTAATGATATTATTATCACATGTCATAATTCAATTTATTATTAAAATATTAAATTAGGTATCAATTTGATATTTTTTAAGTTAAATATTAATTTAATTTTTCAAAAATTTTATATTATATATGTGAATTAAACTATGGCATATTAATATCAAGGGTTGGGCTGGAAAATGGTTTGTGTCCACGTGAAGCTGGGTTACAATCAGTGAACCAGAGCGACTGGTACCGGCAATGGCGGGGTTAATATGAAGGACACAACACAAAAATCTGAGTGGCCATCAAAACTAGGACGGTAAATGAGACGAGATAGATCGTGAGTTGTTCGAGATTAGTTTCGTCAAAACTCGATAAATACTTGATTCAAGTGGACTTGACTTGAGTTCGAGTTTGACTCGAAAAGTTTGCAAGTAAGTCGAAAAGCTTACGAGTAACTCGAAAATATAATATATTAAAATTTATTTTTTTAAATTAAATTATTAATAATATTAACATTTGTTTTGGATTTTTTAAAAATATATTATAAAGTTTTTATGTATTTAATGTTCGGGTTCAAGTTTGAGCTTTGAGCTATGATCGAGTTAATTTTAAGTTTCCCCCCCCTCCCACATTTTGAGATTTTTCGAGTTTTTTCGAGTTTCAATTCATGGTTTTAAGTTTGAGTCGAGTTAAAATTTTTAGAGTCACGAGTTTTTTAATTGAATCGAGCTTTATTTCAAAGTTTTCGAGTTGAGTCGAACTCTACAATACTTATATAGTTTGCAGCCGTAATCCAAACCTCTCATTTCACCGAAATTTTAAGTGTTTCGAAAATGGAATAATAATTAATTAATTAATTGTCTCCAAAACAAAATATTCACTGTAGAAACCAATAACTCTAACCAAGAAGGATGTGGGGGCATACTGCCGGTACTGTTTCTCGTTCTGCGATGCTAATAAACATGCAGATATGTAGTATTGTCTTATACTATAATTATTTAGTATACACAGTGACAGTGCTAATTGGTATATATAACTCACGAGACACGTTTGAGTTGCATGCACGAAGCTTCTTGTCTTTGTTCGCTTCTCCAGCTAATCTGGTTTTAATTATGCTACTCGAACAAAATTAATCTTTAATTTGATCGTAATCAAGTAATTAACACATAATTGATTTTATAGAAATATATTTATATAGAGAATGGAGCATAAAATTTTATTTATTTAAAAAAAATATCACAGTAATATGAACGAACATGATTTGTTTGATCAAAATATTATTACCAAACCAAAAAGACTGTATTTACATTCGCATGTTTCCCCGACCTTAAACCAAATCAAAAGTCACTAAGACAATAATTAAATGAAAACTATTATTATCAGTCGACAAATTTATTTCTCAAGAAAAACACCACTACCATACAGAACGGCTTGAGCTGTACCTTCCTCTTCTACACGAATCATCCCACAACCTAACAACGTTGCCGTTTATCGCCGTCAAATCCTGATAACGGTGCCACCCCGTCTCCCCTTTCCTCAGCTTCAACACTCTTTCCCAACCCTCCCACCATTCTCCGCCGCAACTCTCTTCCTTACGGTACTTGTCACCGTCACACCATTCCGTCTCCGTCGTACCACCTTCATCATCATTCTCTCCTCCGATATCATTATAGTAATAAACAGTCAGCTTGGGCATCCCTCCTTTTGTCGCCCCATCGTTGCAAGCCGACCGTGAAACAGCCGTTTTCTTAACGGAAGCTGGAGATGAAATTGAAACCACAGGTGAAACTGTCATCTTTTCTTCAACTTCGTGAATCAGTCGATCAATGATGGACGACAACGGGCTTTGATCGTGGCTTTTAACGGAACATGATGAGGTGGCGGCGCCGGCGGCTCTTATCCTCCAAAAACTAACCGCCGCCGTGATGACAGCGACCCACGTCCATAGATTATTAACAACAGTGAAGATCCCAAAACTTACATATTTAAATGCTAAAGCTTCGACCCGAGAATCCAACAACTGGTTCATGTCTAAAGATTTTCCAGTTTGGTTCATGTGGTTTGTGAGAGAAACAATCTGAGGCGCCTATAAATGGTAAGGGGTTAGGCGTAGGACAGATGAATGTGGGCCGTTGGATGGCCAAGTTGAGAGTAGGGATCTTGATCAAGAATTCGATATGCTGAGAATCGAAAGCTAAGATGCTAATATGCCGGGGCAGATCCCAATTACATATGCCAACTATAGGTTAATATCTTATTGGTGACAGGTGTTGGTTTGTAATTGGTTGTTATTTTCACCTCCTGTCGTTCTCTTGATGTCGATAATTTGATCTTTTGCAGCAGCACAATATCTAAGGGCGAGAGTAAGAGCCAAGAGGGAGTGCGAGAAAAAGTTACGAGTGCATGCATTGTGTGGAATGACAGTGAGACACGTGGGAGTAGATAAGTGGCCTAAAAGATCGAATATCCTACATCTAACTTGGTTTCTTTAATCAATCGTCTACTTTGCTTAAAAACTGCTATTATGTAAAATATAAGTTTATGACTTCTCCCTATCCACATAACGAAAATTAAAGTGGAAGATATTTAAAATTAAAAATCCAAAATGACATTAATATTATACATAAGAAAATTCAAAAATAGATACTCACAGTTGTGAACACGATTAGTATCTTATAAAAATATATGAAGTGTTTAGGGTCATTCATAGTAGTCATTCAATTTCAGTGTCCTTAAAAAGGACTTTTAGGGTTTCCTTGTGTATTTCATATCAATTGAAAGAGGGAAAAACAAAATAAATAAAGGAAACATGTTCTTAACATCATTTGATGTATAGAATCAGTGTCACACAGGAATTGTTAGGAAGGATAGTAGATATTTGTTGATCCAATACAAGTGAGAAGCTACAAAACTGAACGGCCGCATCATCTAAACTCATTTAACCAGGGATGTATTTCGTCTAATGTGGTTTTGGAACATACCCATCAACAGCAAAGTTTCGGGTGGCAGCAGGGATTGCTAAACGAATTCCATCAAGTTCCGGCCTTGCAATTATTTGACATCCCAGTCGAGATCTGAAAAGAGCAAGAACATGACAATCCATTTAGATTAAACTTCAACCAGGCGCGCGCGCACACACATATTCTAGGAACTAACTCACGTTTCTGTAAGCCCAAAGGCCAGATCCAACATGTCATTCTCTTCATCATTTGGATCCTCTAATTTATTATAGTACTCCGTATCCTAGCCAAAAAAAAAAGTTCAATAGTTAGTATTAGTCCCTAATAGTTAGGTTGAAAGAATATTATGAACAACCATGAATCAATCAACATGTAAAGTGTTCGGTTTGCATACCATCACTATGACGTGGCATGTTGAACAGGCAAGTGAGCCCTCACATGCTCCTGAAACAACAACACAAGCAGACATTAATTTCTACCAAAGCATGTTAATTTGGATAACAAAAGAATTAGGAGATTTAAAATCAGCCTATGCTATAATTTATAGGTAATGCATCATTCATCTGAACAAAATGAGTTTCAAGACAGACATCACTATAAAAGGACTTCATCAGTAAACGAATTACTCCAAGAAGACAACAATTAGATCCAAGGAACGCTACAAAAGTAATGGATCAAGGATAGATCATAAGCCTTGCCTTCAAGCTCTATATCATTCTGATGAGCTGCTTCCAACATCGACATTCCAACAGGCACTTGAATGGGGATTTCTTCTCCATCTTTTGAAACAAATGTGACAGAAATCCTGAGAAATAAGATAATTTAATTTGAGTAGAGCGGAGTGGAGGAAGAAACACAGTGATAGATTAAATGCTTATAGAATCATATAGTGTTTAAAGAACAACGTTGTGGTGCTATCAAACTACAGACTTTCAATGTCAATGAATGAATTACAATCTGAATCTTCCACCAAGCAGTCATAGGCACCATGCTAATACAATTTTATTTTAGGAACTTACGTTTCTTTCTGTTCTCCTCCTCCCTCAGAAGCATTGTTGGAAGCCGAGGTAGAAAAATCATGATGCTTCTGAAATATGCCCCCTTGAAAAGCACTAGTTTCTGGCAGTAAGTCAAGCTGTCCAAAAAAATAAAAGGAGAAAAAGATCGTGGGAAAACTTCACAAATTATTCACTAAAAGTGAAATCTTCTTCAGATAAATAACTAATACTGAAATCTGCTTCTTACCCACTTCTGTAAAGTGCAATACCATTGTCAATGTATTCTGGCAATTACACTCATCCACAGCTTATTACTATTTCGATTTTGACACATGTAGTTCAGTATGCTTACCATATTTTTAGCATAACTGTAATCCATGTTTTGGTTCTATATTCTTACCCCTATGACAAATCCCAAAATTTTTACTACATAAAACTAATCAAATCATTCCATCTCCTTACTAAACAAATTTACAGCCACACTATTTAAAATGTAGATATTATATGAGAACACTCTTTTCACATGAAAACCAATCCGCAAAATGCTGCTAATGCCAATTAGCTCATCTAAAACCACAATTTACGTGAACAGCAAATATATCCTAAAGACTATCTACATATGAATCAGCCTAATTAGAAAAGAGGGGAAGGCCTGTCATTAGCTCACTAATTAGTGTAGTCAAAGTGTTTCATGTCCTAAAAGTCATAAGGCATCCACTATAGGTAACATATATCTCCATATTTCAAGATAATTAACAGGGACAAACATATTATAATCACTAGATTAACATAGAACATTGCCCATAACAACAGATACAAGAGTCAACTCATAATCCATGTCCTAGGCTGCTTTAAGTGAAAAAATATATAGTTAATGCATGTCAAATTATATTTGCATCTTTTTGAAAAAACGAAAATAGTAACCACTGACCGGAGATCGCTGGTATTGTCCACAGGGCCCTTGTCTAAATCTTGTTCTAGAGATACAAGTATATCCACCTATGGAAAGGAATGAAATTTGGAATCAAGTCAGTAAATGAAAAATCATTTCATTCAAATCAAGCACCAGTGACAACCCGCAAAACATGATACCACTCTAATTAAAGCAAAATCGCCTGCTTAGAAACTACAAGGGAGTCTCAGAATTTTATAAAGAACAAGCTCTAAACATTTATAATGCCAATTTCCCTAGAATCAAACAGTAACAAATGAACCCAAATTGAAAGTAGTAACAAACCTCTCGATAGTTCTTTGGCAATACAAAATCCAACTCTGGAAAGCCTTAACATAATTTGATGTCGTAAAACAGAGCCCTGTTTAAAGGAGAAAACATAAGTATGCTTAGGAACTTAAGAAACGTCAAACTGTTGACAAACATAACAAATATCCAAAAGGACTAGCTTTTGAAGTTTTAATCGACACAGTTCAACTGGGTTTTATTCAGCTAAGACGCTGCTAATTAATCGATATAGGTTTAAATTTACGGAGAGCTCAAAGAAAAATCAATTGAGAAATGAATTTTAGGAAAAAATAATATACCTTTTGGCAAAGAGATGAATGGAGGAGGTTTGAATCAGGTTTTGGCGACAATCAAAGTAGGATTTTAAATTTTACTACGAAAGCTCCAATTTCTTTTGAAGGGTTCGAGGGGGAAAAGGTCGCCACGGCGAGTGGGCGTCTTTTGAATAAATAATATGTGCCGCAGGGAGAGACGGGCATTCGAGGAAGAAATGAAGAGAGTTCGAGAACAAACCAACCAGACTAAAACTGAAAACGACGCTATCATGGAGAATGAATCTTCTGACGAGAGAAAACAAAACAATAAAAAACTAGAGATACGGGGGATCGAACCCCGTGTCTCTCGCTTGCAAACGAGCGTTCTACCATTTTACCTACAGTCTATACTTATTATATGATAAATAACTAATTTGTATTAAAATAACAAAAGAAATCCGTATGGATATTTCCATCCCTTGTACGCTATTTTCAGTATTCCATATTAAAAATAATAGAGAATCCTATTTAAAGAAGGATCTAATAGTAACTGTTCTTATTTGATTTGGTACATTGTAGTCAGTTTATTGGCGAATTAGGTGAAGGTGCGGAAAGAGAGGGATTCGAACCCTCCGTAAACAAAAGTCTATATAGCAGTTTTAACTCTACGTCTTGAACCACTCGGCCATATCTCGTACATAAATATTATTATGGCCGAAATGATGAACAAATAGGGATGCCTTCATTCATAAAAAAATATGATCAACTCCTATTGTGTATTGATACTTATCGGGTATAGAATAGATATGTTTCTCTTTTTTCTTCTAAGCCGAATTCTTCCCTTATTACTAATAGAATAGATCAGATATTAATTCTTTCTCCGAAAGAATCACGGAAAAGGGGAGGTATTCCAATACAAAAAAGTTACATTCCAATGCAATAAAGTTACATAGTGTCTATTTTTAGTTGAAAAAGGGTTATTTTATGGGTTTGTCTGAAACGTGTTCAGACTGTCGTATTGAATGATCTCTGTCACTTACTTTCTATTCATATAATGCATACGCCACTGGTTGCTGGTTGGGTTGGTTCAATGGCTCTCTATGAATTAGCCGTTTTTGATCCATCTGGTCCGTTCTTGATCCAATGCGAAGACCAAGTATGTTCGTTATACCCTTTATGACTCGTTTAGGAATAACCAATTCATGGGGCAGTTGGAGTATTACAGGATAAAATAAAATAAATTATGACAATTTTTTAGAAGCGACGTATTGTAATTACTATTTGTATTTTACTTTTAAACTACCCATTAGTAATAAAAGTATTTATTTTGATGATTATCTTTTGTAGCCATTCAATATGCAAAATCTGTTGACGTTGTTGAAAGACTAAAAGAACCATTTGTCATAATTTTCTCATTCCATTTCTCTGACCGAACTGCTTTGCCTACCATTCCCTAAATCAGTAATTCCCTCCTTCGCAATGGCTTTCCTTCCTTAGGGTTTTCTGCTGGTTCCAACGCTCATACTAAGGTAGCAAGCTTTTCGTCTCTTTTTTCTTGCATCGTGACAAGAATTTATGTAGAAAAAGTTTTGCCTTGATGTTTCATCCTAGATAACGTTTTAATCATCTAACTATCACTTTAGTTTGTTTTAATCATCCAACTACTGATTTTTTAAATCATACTTATAATTTCGTTTTGGTCATCCGTTGTTAAAAAAATTAACGGTGATGTTGATATGATAGTTTTTTAGTTTTTCAATGATAATATATAATTATCTTATGGTGATACGTCAGTATTACCATTAGGTTTGCGTAAACTATGAATTTAGTACTTAAACTATCAGTTTTAATCAGTTTCGGTACCTAAACTTACATTTTTTTTCAAAACCATACATAATTTTTAGTTTTTATTTCATTTTAGTACCCGCCGTTAAAAACTTAACACGTTTAGTACCTAGACTATAAGTTTTGGTCCGTTTTAGTACCTAAACTTTTAAATTTTATTCAAAATTTAACGTTAAGTTTTGAACAAGGGTACTAAAATTAAACAAAAACTAAACTTTTTAACAATGGTGCTAAAATGAAATAAAAACTAAAGTTTAGATATGGTTTTGAAGAAAAAATAAAAGTTTAGGCACTAAATATATAATTTACCCTTAGTTTTAACGTAAGGTGGCCAAAATATAAATTTAGGTATGATTTTGAAGGAAAAAAATAGTGGTTGGATGACTAAAATGGAATCAAAGTGATAGTTAGGTTACTAAATATATAGTTTACCCTTGATTCATTTGCTTTAGTTATTGGATTTCTGGTCTCTTCGCCATTGCGCTTGTAGATTCAACGATGGTGCAGCAAAGTGGTGACTAAAATGAATGCTTCAAAAGTAGCAGACTGTCACATTTGGCTCCGGACCAAACGCCCATAATTCAAAAGGAAGCCTCAACCAATCTGCAAGGTCCAAACAAATATAATACATTACGATTCCGACGATGAAAATTGCCACAGCCCTGAACCGGCGCCCGATGTTCCCAAGGGATATTTGTCAATCTATGTCGGACCGGAGCATAGGAGGTTCATCATCGCTACAGCTACCTCAGCCACCCTGTTTTCAAGATTATAGTGGAAAAAGCCGAGGAGGAATTCAGATATGATCAGAATGGTGGCCTTACTCTCCCTTGTGAGATCGACACCTTCAAGTATCTCCTCAATTACATAGAGAACCAACCTAAAGGTCACAATGTTGGATGGAACCCGATTTCCGAACATAATTACTTGATTTGTACTTAGCTTTAAGCATTTTGAGTTCATTGATTTGTACTTAGCTTTAAGCATTTTGAGTTCATTGATTTGTACTTGTCTTTAAGCAATTTGAGTTCTTCGGCAATCTTATGAGGTTTTTTTTGTCCCGTTACCGTTGGCCCCAAAATTATTTAGGAAGAAAGGGGAGTTAAAAAATTATTTTGAGATCTACGATATTTTCTACAGTGCAGAGTGAGGTGATGAGTTTGATGATATATTATTATTTTTATTTTAGGCCTAATATTTTAATATTTATTGTGAAATTAGGTGACGATTAAAAATTATTTTTTAAAATTTTAATATAAATTTAGTTTTTTAAAATTAAAACTCGTCACCTCGAAATGACGATTTCTTTTTTGGTGTAACAATTTTTTCCAGCTACTTTACCCATATAAACATATCAAATTTTGGTATTGGGTAAACTATATGTTCAATATATAAACTATCAATTTTATTTTCTTTTGGTATCTAAATTTTATTTGTTTCAAAATTATACATAAAGTTTACTTTTTATTTCATTTTGGTACCTCGCTGTTAAAATATTAAATTTAATATTTAGAAACAAATAAAAATTTAATATAAAAAGTAAATTTAGGTATAATTTAGTTCAAATAAAAATTTAATATAAAATGTTTAATATTAAATTTAATATTTTGACAACGAGGTACCAAAATGAAATAAAAAGTAAACTTTAAGTATAATTTTGAAACAAATAGAAATTTAGGTAAAAGAAAACAAAGGTGATAGTTTATATATTAAACATGTAGTTTACCCAATACCAAAATTTGATATGTTTACGTGGGTAATGTAGCTGGAAAAAAATGTTACATCGAAACAACTCGTCACCTCGAGGTGACGAGTTTCGAGTTTCACAAGAAATATTAAAATATTAGGTTTGGAATAAATAAATAATATTTCATGAAACTCGTTCGTCATGTATTGTAGAAAATTTCTTAAATCTCAAAATAATTTTTGAGATGCCCTATTAGGCCGAATAATTATTTTGGGTGCCCTATTGGGCCAAAAACCATCTTATGATGCTTATGGGTCAAGCTCATTGATTTATCTTCATTGCACGTTTGGGTCAAAAGTCGTTTGCGGCCTTTACGTAAAGAGCGAAGCAGTAAGGATCCAATTTCCATTGCACAATGCAGCTACGAACGCGATCGTCAATCATTCATAGAGTAATATTATAATATAACCATGATGTGCTTGGAAATTATATAACCATGGATATGAAAGAGTTTCAAGATTTCAACAGTGAGATGGAATTACTCGATCACCCTTACTTTGGGCCAACTTTTACATGGAGTAACAAACATAAGAAATTTTTTCTGGCAAGAAAGCTTGATAGAGTCCTGATTAATTCTGGCTGGGCTACTGCTTTTAATGATTCCTTTGTGGAATTTCTTGCCCCAGGAGTTTCTGACCATTGTATGGCCATTACCTGGCTTTCTAAAACTGCTCCTGCAAATAGGCCTAAACCATTTAAGTTCTTCAACTGCTGGACTACACATCATGGATTCTTGGAAGTGGTTCGGCAATCTTGGATTCAAAATGTTTCAGGAGACCCTATGAGAATTTTGTTCTCCAAATTAAAACGGCTCAAAGAATGTCTTAGCATTTTAATAAGGATAACTTTAGCAGCATCTCAGATCGGGTAAAAGCTAAAAGAATTGAGTTAGAGCAACAACAAAATTCTCTCCCTAAAAGGAGAAGATTCTTTTGAAAAGGAACTTGCTATTCAAGATGACTTGAAGCTATTGGAAGAGGTGGAAAGTTTATTCCTTAAGCAAAAGGCTAAAATCTAGTGGATAAAGAATGGGGACAAAAGTACTACATTTTTTCACTCCATGGTGGCCTTGAAAAACAAGAGGGATACCATTAGAGTTATTATGGAAGAAAGATAAAAATAGGCTTGATTCCTTTGACTCTATGGCTAAAGAAGTGATTAACTTCTATTCGAATCTTATTGGAACTGTCGACCCCTCGGTTAAAGCTATTGATCCAAGCTTCACCAAAACTATTCTTAATTTCAACTTGTCCTACGAAGCTTCTTCTTCCCTTGTTAAAGAGATTATTGTAGAAGAAATTAAAGATGCCATCTTCGACCAAGAAAATGAAAAAGCACCCGGTCCGGACAGTTATTCCCCTATTTTCTTCAAGAAAGCTTGGAATATTGTCGGTAAGGATGTTATTGTTGCGGTTAATCACTTCTTTTCGAATGTAGCTTTAATTCCAGCTTTTAATTCTACTGTTGTTGCTCTAGCTCCTAAAATTCCAAATCCAAGTTCTGTTAAAGACTTTGAGCCCATTTCATGTTGTTCAGTTATTTACAAATCCATTTCTAAAATTCTTGTTAAAAGATTGACTGAGGTTCTTCCCGATATCATTTCCTTAAACCAGACAGCTTTCATCAGAGGCAGAAACATTGTGGATAATACTCTGCTTGCCTAAGAGAGATGGTTAAAGGTTATAGTAGGAACTCCATATCACCAAGGTGCATTCTGAAAATTGATCTTCATAAAGCATTTGACTCCATTCATTGGGATTTTATTTCAGCTATTCTTAAAGCTTTAAATCTTCCTCAAAAATTCATCGATTGGACTGAAGCATGTTTTACTCAAGCAAGATATTCCATATCTTTCAATGGCACTTTGATTGGTTATTTTAATGGAGCTCGTGGTCTTAGGCAGGGAGATTATCTTTACCCTTATCTCTTTGTCCTTGCTATTAATGTCTTATCCAGTTTACTCAACTTGGCTGCTAGTAAGGGTTTATTTGGTTATCATCCTAAATGTAAGAAGATAGGGCTCACTCACTTATCATTTGCAGACGACCTCTTGATTTTCTGCAAAGGTAATTATGATTCTGTTGCTGGCGTTCTCAGTGTCTTGGACCATTTCAAAGATATCTCGGGCCTCAAGATCAATTCTTCTAAATGTGAGATATTTCATGCTATAATTTCATCACGTTCAATTGACGACATCAAACAGATAACTAGCTTCAAAATTGGTTGACTTCCTGTCAGATATCTCGGAATTCCTCTGGTCACCCGCAAGTTGAATGAGAAATATTGCGAAACTCTTATTGATAAAATCAAGCAAAGTCTCCACCATTGGTCTGCTAGGAACCTCAGTTATACTGGCAGATTTGAGTTGATTAAATCTGTTATTTTTCAGTATCAGCAATTATTGGTGCAGACAACTTATTTTGACTGCTTCAATACTTAAAAAAGCGGAGCAGCTCTGTTCAAGATTCTTTTGGAAAGGCTCGAACAAACCTGCTGCTGGAGCTAGAGTGAGCTGGGATAAAATCTGCCTTCCTAAATTGGAATGTGGTCTCGGACTGAAGAACCTAAAAAATTGGAATAGAGCTTGTATTGTTAATCTCGTAAAGAAAATGTTGGCTGGTGAAGGTTCTCTATGGGTAGCTTGGGTTAATAGTTATGTCATTAAATATCAAAATTTTTTACATTCTACACCTGGTCCAAACGTCAGCTGGTGTACCAGAAGAATTTTTAAACTGAGATCAGAAGCAATGTCTCTCAATTCTGTTACATGCGCGGTTAAGGAAATTTATGAAGAGCTTAGAACTAAAGGGCAGAAAGTACCTTGGCATAAACTTATCTGGTTCCCACTACATATTCCGAAGCATAGTTTTATCGTTTGGATGGCTCTTCAAAACAGATTGCCTACTCGAGACTGTCTGCAAATCATGGGAATTAACACAGACTCTTTATGCGTTAATTGCAGAAACTCTCAAGAGTCTAGGAATCATTTATTTTTTGAGTGTTCAATGGCTGTCTGCTTATGGAATTCAGTTCTGATTCAGTGTGGATTAAACTCTTCAAATCTGTCTTGGGATATTATGGTTAACAGAGCAAGCTCATTATGGAAAGGAAAATCTCTTATCACCTTCATTTTAAAGATAGCATGGTCTGCTCTCATTTATTTCTTATGGCAGGAAATAAATCATAGAATTTTCCAAGCTTGATCTAGATCAGTAGAACAATTGTTTACTGAAATTTCTGATGTTGTTCGATTCTACCTTAGGGGGAAAAGCTTTAATTGGCTTGATAGCACTAACCTTTTCCTTTGTAATGCTTGGGGCTTATAGCTTTTACCATGATTTGTCTAGGTTGTGCACTGATTGTATTGGCTGTGCAGATTTTGTTTGGTTGATTGTTTTGTAGCAAAACTTTGTTATTTTGAGTAATAATATCTTAATTATCCAAAAAAAATTATATTATAATATAATATTTGATCTGAACATGGAATACGAAACTTTCTAGTAACAACTAGCAACGGCCTTTGAATGCCCTTTTGGGGACCTACCTTCCCGATGTGGGATCCACCGTCCATCCATCACCCTCAAGCTGAAGCCATATGTTTCTGTTTAGTTGGCGGGTAAAACTGTAGAGCTTCCATTGCCCACCCTCCAACACCCAATCACCGTCGTCATCCGCTCTTTCCAAAATCACTCTTTCCCTGTTGAAAATTGGTGGAACTTGCACCGAAAGTTGGGAGAAAAAATATATAATTCCACCGAATGGTGGAATTGTCAAAAAGGTTGTATTTTTGTTGATTTTTGGTAAATGGTAAATTACACAATTTAGTCATTATACTTTAGGGTATTTATAAGATTAGTCCTTAAGCTTCAACTATAAATACCCTAGCTCATTTAGCTTCAAAACCATCCCAAAACATTCTAGCTTTCTTCCAATACTAGAGAAATTTTAGAGAGTTTCTTGAGAGTTGTTTTCTCTTTTTTATCTAGAGAGAATTATCATTGTTTTCTTCTTGGTAGATCGAGAGAGGTTGTAATTCATATTTTCTCATAGTGAAATTCTTCTACCGTTGCTCGTGGTTTTTACCCTAAATTTTTAGGGGTTTTCCACGTAAATTTTGTGTCTCTTTTATCTTCATTTTTATTTTCTCAAATTATTAGTTGCGATTTTGCTCTATCCGATAGCCGTCTTCCGCAACAATTGGTATCCGAGCTAGATTAGAGTGTGTAATATCTACTTATTGTCTTTGTGGTTGCCACCAAAAAGTGGATCCTCCAACATAAGAAAATAAGAAGTTATTACCCATTCTTTAAAGGTTCCAGAGAACTATTCACGATAGTGAAATAGTGGGAGCTATCCGTAAAAGAAGTTATGGCAACGAAATTATGGCAACGAAATTTGATATTTAAAAATTCAATGGGAGAAATTTCTCATTGTGGAAATTGAAGATGAAGGCCATCATGAGGAAAGACGGTTGTCTAGCAACTATCAGTGAAAGGCCGGTGGATTTCGCAGATGACATCAAATGGAACGAGATGGACGAGAATGCTATGACAAACTTTCATCTAGCATTAGTAGATGAAGTATTGTCAAGCATCGAGGAGAAAAATACATCTAAGAAGATATGGGATCATCTCACCAAATTGTACGAGGCCACATCGTTGCACAATAAAATTTTCCTTAAGAGGAAATTGTACACTCTCCGTATGCCAGAATCTACTTCAGTGACGGAGCACTTAAATACACTGAACACCTTATTTTCTCAGCTTACATCCTTAAGCTGTAAAAATATGAGAACAAGAACGTGCTGAACTTCTACTTAAAAGTCTACCTGATTCGTATGATCAACTCATCATCAACTTGACAAACAGTAATGTCACCATTCTAGTCTTCGATGATGTTGCAGCTGCTGTTCTACAAGAAGAAAATCGGCGCAAGAACAAGGAAGACAGACAAGTAAATCTGCAACAAGCAGAAGCGTTGACAACGATGAGAGGGAAATCAACAGAACGTGGCCAAAACAGCAGTCATAAACATAGTAGATCGAAGTCGAGGAGCAAGAAGAATTTAAAGTGATACCACTGTGGAAAGAATGGTCACTTGAAGAAGGATTGTTGGAGTCTAAATAAAAAACTCCAATCCATAAGGCAATACCGCAAACACTTCAGATGATGGAGATGCTCTATGTTGTGAAGCGTCAACCACCGTGGAAGGTAGAAAGAGATATGCAGATATATGGCTCATTGATTCGGGAGCAACATATCACATGACCTCAAGAAGAGAATGGTTCCATCATTATGAACCAGTCTCAGGAGGATCTGTGTATAGTTGCAATGATCATGCCTTAGAAATCATTGGCGTGGGAACCATCAAATTGAAGATGTATGATGGAACAATTAAAGTTGTTCGAGATGTGCGGCACGTGAAAGGCCTGAAGAAAAATTTATTATCCTACGGATTGTTGGATAATAATGCAAGCAAGATTGAAACACGGAAATGAATCATGAAGGTGTTCCGTGGAGCGCTTGTGGTGCTGAAAGGCGAAAAGATAGCTGCAAACTTGTACATGCTGAAGGGAGAGACTTTGGTAGAAACAGAAGCCTATGTTGCCTCATGTAGTTCAGATTCGACAATGCCATGGCATCAGAAACTTGGACACATGTCAGAATAAGGAATGGAAGTCCTTTTGGAGAAAAAGCTACTTCCAGGCTTAACAAAGGTATCACTTCCTTTGTGTGAGCATTGCATAACAAGTAAGAAGCACCGGTTGAAATTCAACACATCAAATTCTAGAGGCAAAAGTGTTCTAGAATTGGTTCACTCTGACGTATGGCAAGCACCAGTAATGTCCCTAGGTGGAGCAAAATACTTTGTCTCATTTATTGATGACTACTCCAGGAGATGTTGGGTGCACCCTATTAAGAAGAAGTCAGACGTGTTTTCAGCTTTCAAAAACTTCAAAGCGCGGGTGGAACTTGATTCTGGAAATAAGATCAAGTGTTTCAGAACAGATAATGGAGGATAATACACAAGCGAAGAATTTGATGACTTTTGCAAGAAAGAATGCATCAAAAGACAGTTCACAGTGGCGAATAGTCCTCAACAAAATGGAGTGACAAAGCGGATGAACAGAACCTTGTTAGAAAGAACAAGAGCAATGTTGAGGGACGCAGGCCTAGAAAAATCATTTTGGGCAGAAGTAGTCAATACCACATGTTATTTGGTGAATCGAGCTCCATCAACTGCAATAGAGCTGAAGACACCAATGGAGATGTGGACTGGTAAACCAGCTGATTATTCAAACCTCCATATATTTGGAAGTATTGTGTACGTGATGTACAACGCCCAAGAAATTTCAAAGCTAGATCCAAAATCCAGGAAATGCAAATTCTTGGGATATGCTGATGGTGTAAAGGGGTATCGCTTGTGGGATCCCACTGCCCGCAAAGTGATCATCAACAGGGATGTTATCTTTGTAGAGGATAAACTACAAAGAAAAGAAGACGATGATAGCGCTGAAAAGTCAGAGACTACTCAGATACATGTGGAAAAAGAGTTTGAAGAATGAGATTCTTCTGAAGCAGAACCAGCACATGATGAACAAGAACTAGAGAGTTATGAAGCTCCAACAACTCGTCAATCAGATCGTGTGAGAAGACGTCCCAAT